CACCCTGAGCTTCAGAGCTAACTTGACACTAACCTTTTCACTGTAGCCTATCTCCATCGTGTCAAGTAACCTCTGACCAGATTCGAGTGCCCCCGCCGCCCGCCAATCAAATTTAAAGCCCGCACTCAATGACTCATTGAACGATCTAGCCAATGAACGCGAACGAGTCAAAGCGCGCTTTGTTCAAATCCGGACCAATCAAAGATAAGGCTGAATATCAGGGACTTGCCGTAACCTGTGGGCAGCACGCAAAATACATCATCCCTCAGTAGATAATGATGCAGGGCATCATACTGCTCTGGTTTCAATTCCGATATACTCCATGCTTTCTTTGTGTACGGTTATGCACTCGGAACCACTCGGAACTACTCGGATGTCTCCGCACTCGACAATAACTATGTTGTTAGTATGGAGCTTGCGGAATCAGCCGAGGATTGCCGATTGACGATCAACCAATCAGCGTTTTCACCAAACTTTGGTGAAAAATTTTGAAACATGGATTCGATTGGCTTATATAAAATAGGTCAAACTATTTTCGTCAGAGGTTACTTGACACGATGGAGATAGGCTACAGTGAAAAGGTTAGTGTCAAGTCAGCTCTGAAGCTCAGGGTGCCGCCAGCGCGACAAAGAGCGCAAAAGGAAAGGAATTCCCGGGAGGCTATAAATCGTTGTCATTTAGAATTTTGACATTTATATAATCTGATATATCCATATCTAAGTATTTTTGGACGTTTTATGGTATTTGCTGCAATTATAATGATGTTTTCGAGTTCTTTAAGGACCTTGTGAAAACCAGGAAGTAGTTCGTAACTAACAACTGAACCGTACCGATCTACGACTACTGTGCAAAGATGTATCTTTTTTTTTTTTTTAATAATGTGACGAATTGTTAGATCTTTATATGTCCATCTGACATGAAATTCCACACAAATGACCACACCAATACAGGGGCGGACAGAACAAATTAAATACCCGTCAATGTAAACTTGAAAATCTGACCGTGTTCCGGAAGACCAAGAAGACGGCCTAAATCCGCCCCTGACTGCAGCACTTGGCTTCTCGGTCTTCTCAACTAAACGTATTGAGGCATGATGTACATGTATATGGCTTTTACTATACATGTTTGAGACTAGATTCATTGCCGTTCAAATATATTTTCAGACCTGTTACAGGAAGGAAGCAAATTTGAAGTGGGAAGGCAGCTATTTTGAAAAATGAAAAAAGGGGAGAATTCCCCTGTCCTCCGTCCCTCCAGCTGTCTGTCCCAACGACAGTTGAAATGGTGGGGGGTAACAACGCCTATGTACATATATGTACATGTATTACTGATCTTGAAATGTGATATATTGTTCCTAATGTCGCGTAATTTTTTTTTTAGTTCACAACTCGAGAGAATGAATATTGGTGAGTACAAGGATTTTTACTGGCGCAAGTAAAATATCATTTGATGTTTTTGAGACAAAACCATTCGGCAGTTCCTCTACAATATGGGATGTTGACAGAGCTGTGTGATACTGTGTGGTAAAATGCTACCACTGGAGCCGGGAATACTCTGTCACGGTTTGACCCAAATATCCCGGTAGGGAGGACTGAGATGCAAAGAGAACAGAACTGTTTTAAAATGAGAGTAAGCCACGAAAATTTACTATTTAAATTCTCGATATCAGTCGCCGTGTTATGATAATCTCTTTCATGTAATGCTTATATTGTTTTGATACCTCAGAACAATGTACGCAGTTATAATGTACGCGTTTTATTTGTAAATTTCTCAAATTCATATCTTTTATGTCCCTATTCAGGCCTTAAAAATTAAAAGTCCCTTAAATCAAATAAGCTGATGCTGATACATGTATTTCATTTTTAAATGAACAGGAGGACATGGCTGTATTATTATTATATAATTGGCCACTCATTTAGAACTAAATTATTAAACCAGATACAGTATAAAACAATGAACCCAAGTGCAGGCAGGGATCGAGCAATGCTTTGTGAATGGAAAAAAATTGCTTTTTTTTTCAAGAAAGATTCGATCTTGCGTGAAGATCCAGTATAATAGGTAAATAACAATATATACACATAACGGCAGCCTGAGTGACAAACCAGAAATTTATAGTTTGGCGTTTTATCCTTAGTGTAAGAGGGGGGGGGGGGGGGGGTCTAAGGAATAGTTTTCCTTATAGGTATAGGTTCAGGGGGTATGAAGTTAGAAGTGGGAAGAATATGCTTAATACAGTGTAGTTGCATGGTTTATAAGGTCTGCAGATAAAGTAGCCTTGAAATATCGAGCAACAGACGGCATCCTCTCATTTTAATCCAAGTTGTAATACTATGTTATCTAAGGGGTCGGGATCATATGGATTAAAGTATTCAATTTTCGGACCTAATCTCACGACCTGTGACAGTTAGCACAAAAGGTCAGCCTGACAACCCCAGAACGTCTAGATATGTCGCGGAAAAGGTGGCAGTGATATCAGAATTTAAAAAGAAGCGAGGAGCACCTGCGTGCACCATTTAGAAAATCTTTCTCAAGCATCTTTAAAGAGTTTATGCGGTTAACATATAAGTTAAAAGTAAGAGTTTTTGACGTTTATTTTGGACTATCCGCTTACATGAAAAGCACATGTAACTTATTGATACCAGCTTGCTGACAGGAAGGAGAAAATTAAATGCGACTAAGATCTGGAACAAAAACGCCAGGCTGTTACTTACAGATCCCTGGGTTTGGAGACTACTGGTTCTAAGAAAGGGTCATTCGTCGACAGATATTTTAGTAGTGAAAGGGCCTCACTTACGCAAATCTAGCTAGAAATATGTGGACAAACTACTGGTGATAGCAGTGAAAGGCAGATAGACTTAAAGGCTGATAGGACAGACGGGGCCAAGGAGAAGTGGGGCACTCTTGACTTTTGCAGGCTGCCGAGTGCCGCCACAAGAGCATCAATTGCAAGTTCTTGGGGAGACGGACGTGAAAATATTCAGGCGATAACTGGGTCGTACGAACGCAATAAGTAGTATTCATAAGGATAAAGCCATTGTTTTTGAAGAGCAAGTATTGCATACAAGTATGAACCTTAATTTGTTATCGAATTCCTGTGTCCTTGAAATCATCGTTTGGTTGTTTTTTAACACAAAGCAGAAATAATTGTCTCATTTCTCGAAATTGGAATTTCAGAGTATAAGAAGGAAGTTTATAACACAATAGTAGAAATGCAATTAAGACGATTGAGATCTTTAAGTTAAATCCCTAATTAGGCTGTTCCTTATACACTGTGGTATTATTTACAGCATTTACTATAGTATTCCACGATGACAAACACAACGAAAAGCAAAATTAGACCACAAAAGGAAACTGAGGAAAAACATGGACTACCCTACAAGATTGCAAAAACAGTATACATGGATTCCTCCTGGATCTGTATGGTAGGTTCTTATCTGAAATTGAAATTCCACAGCTGGTTTAACCAACATCTGCTAATATTACGTGAGATGTGCTTCTGTAACATTTATTTTTATAGATATGTATAATTTAGGTTTTTAATTGCGTAAAAAACTGAATAACTGGATTTTTCATAAACACTATTTTAACAAATATGACGTAAAACAAATCTCGCCATTTGAAATGTCGACCCAAATTAATAATTAAGCTTTTATGTCCAAGCAGTGAATTCTCGTTGCTTTGTTTTTCATAAGGGTATGTTCTTGGAACTATCGGGACCCACGCTGCAGGACCTCAAGTATCGAGTTAGCGCCAACTATGAAGAAGTTTCACGTGCTCTTATAGGACGAAGTATAGGTTATTTCATTGGGGCGTTTTTTGGTGGCTACCTCTGTGACCGCTTCAAACGCTACGTGGATCTCCTCACGGCGTTGGCTTTGCTGGTTGGAACCGTGGGAACGTTTCTAGCGCCCTACAGTAGCAGTGTGGAACTCCTTCTGGCGATGTTCGCACTCCAGGGTCTCGCAGAGGGAACTCTCGCCATAAGTAAGTCACGTGACGAGGCCTGGACAAAAACTTTACAAACAGGACAGAGTTCATATTTGAATTATTTAAAATAAATTGTTCACGAGACTGAGTCGTTCTGACGTAGTTTACAAGTAGTAATTGGAGAAAAAGAATTCATTGCTTACTATGAGACAAATGATTTGAAATTTTCTACTTTGATGAAATTTTAATTTTTCAGTTGGAAATGCCATGTTCATCCGGGTATGGCGAGAAAAGGCATCAGCGCCAATACACTCTTTACATTTCTCCTATGGTGTTGGTGCCTTCTTCGCCCCAATAATTGCACGCCAGTTTCTTGCGCCATCCATCGACGTAACAATTATGCAGAATGCTGACAATGACACGTGCTTGAAGTGCACGAACACGGACGGGCTGCTTCCAACTACAGGAGATATAAATGAGACATTGTTGGCATCATATAGGAATAATTCAACAAATATCACCACTACGGTGACGGCATTCGAGTTGTCGAAGATCGAGTATTCCTATATCATCGTGGCCTGCGTCTCCATCGCCATGCTACTGGTGGCACTGGCGTTCCAGTTCCATGCTTCGTTCGTCGGTCCTAAACCTCAAAGCGAGAAAATCAGTTTTATTGATATATTTTCTCCTGGATCTTGCGCACAGGGAGATAAAGCCTTCGGCTTGGCCGTCTTGGTTCTGATTTTCCTGTTCTATTTCTTTCTTGTCGGTTGTGATCACACAGCCAGTAAACTTTTGTACAGCTATTCTCGTGACACGCCCAATCAGTTCAGCGTCGGGGATGCCACCCTGCTGAACTCTGTCTACTGGGGCTCGTACTCTATAGGGAGAGGATTACCCATATTCTTCGTGGAATGGA